TCCCCCCAAGACTTTGATCCCGACTACCACTGGAACTTTGTCCGCTTCACAGTCAGTAGCACACCCTACATGAACCTTGGGCTTGTCGTCTAACGTGCGATAACCATCAGGCTCAAGGACGCCGTTTCTGTGTCCCGGACTACCTTTTCATCGAAGGATCGGACTACTTCGCTGCTGAATATGGCCTGAAGAGCGGTAGTGGCACTCCAACAGACATTGAGGTTGTCGATGCGTCTACGGACAAGGTCGTCGAGCTGGACGTCTCCATCGAAGACTTTCGCTCCTTCTTGACCGTGCTCTACCCCAAGTCAGTCTCATTGCTTACTACTGATATACCGTTCAGTGGATTTCAATTAGCGACAGACCACTGACCAGACTACTTGCAGAACGCCAGACGCCATCGCCCAGATCTCCGAGGAAGGCTGGCTGTCCATCCTCCGGCTCTCCACTAAATGGTACTTCAACGACCTGCGAAAGATGGCTATCGACAAACTGGAAGACTATGTGACCAGGATGGGCCCTATCGAGCTCATTGGGTTGGCGAAAGAGTTATCCTTTGCGCCCTGGCTTGCATATGGGTACAAAGATATCGTGACCAGGCCCCAGAGCGTCACCGTAGAAGTGGCCAGGGAGGTTGGCTGGGAGATCGCCATACAGCTCTGTGCGATGCGAGAGGAACGCCGCATTCCGATTCCCGTCCCACCTCCCACAGATCCCGACATCGAATTCATGTTATCTCAAGTTTTCGCCCCAATAAATCTGCGACAATCGGATTTCATTACCAGTGCAGAAAGAGTGGAAGCCGAGAGACTCGCTGCAGAGCGAGAGGCGGCAGTGGAAGAGGAGAAGAGACGCAAGGAGGAGGCTGTTGAAAGTCAAAAGAAAGAGAGGCGATATCGCGAGGCAGAGGAGGCTGAACGAGTGAAGCAGATTCAAGAAGCCAGCGGCTTGGAGAGGAGACGTCGCGAGCTGTTGGATCAGGCCGAGGCTCTGGGCGACCAAATTGCAAACCATGAATACCGTGAGCGTGGACGCTGTGATAGTCAAATATCGATTTATGAACCTGAACGAACACCTGGCCTGTACGACCAATCTGAATTGAGGGCAAAAACGAATACACAACAATTCCAGCGCATGAGACCTGAGGAAGCAACTGCGGAAGAGAAGGAGAGACGGGAAAGACGCGCCGGGGCGGAAAGCCAACGAATGAAAAGGGAAATATTGGAAAGGGAAGAAGCAAGAAATTGCGCGGAGGCGGAGGCAAAAGAACTCGCGGAAGAGAAACGGAGAAGAGATGCAGAGGAAAAAGCAAGAAAATGCGCGGAGGAGGAGGCAAAAAGACTCGCGGAAGAAGAATGGCGAAGAGCTGCAAAAGAAAGAGAATCAATGGAAAGAGAAAGACGAAGACGAAGATAAAGATAAAGATAAAGAGAAACAATGGAGATACTTCTTACAGATTAAATTGAGGTGCGCTTTATGATCGCGCAACCATTGTCGCCTACACCTTGATGAATGCCTAACGAGAAATAAAACCACCACCACCACTACTACTCTGTCTCTTGTAGAGCAATGAATTTGTAAGCATCCTGTCAGATGAATTCTGCTGTCGTATTTGGCTTCGTAATGGAGTTCAAGCTATAGATTAGGTATGACACCGATACCTGTTTGCAGAGTATCCTTCGCCAACCCAACTGCCCAAGCCAGAAAATTTGACACCTCCTCAGCCTTGACGTTCCGAAACGCCTCCGACATGAAATAAACAATCCCCATTGCCAGGGTGTCGATTCTCGAAGCCTTGATGAAGATCGACTCGACGGAGTCTCGTTGTCTCGTCAACACCAAGCTGCCCAAGTCATTGGAAATCAACGGCGTTGACAACTGGCTGCTGATGAACACATGCGTCAACAAATCTTTTAAGAATTCTTTCGTTTGCGGCTTGAGGATTGTGAAATCGACGGGCTATTGATGACGGTGTAAGCACCACAACGTTGAATGACAATATCTCTCCCTCGGGGAAGAAAGGGGGAGAGAAGGTTGGTACGCACTTTGAGAATTACCAAAGAAACCGCATCCTTCGCAATCCACCACGCGTAACATCGGGCGAGATTCTTCATCCGTGTCCGAGAGATATTTTTGAGGTCGAACCCATCCTCATCACGAGCGTTCCTGACCAAGGCTTCCCCACCGACCTTGCTTTCGCCGAGATCACGTAGGAAATCCCAGAGGCAGAACTGGATGGTGATTTTGTACGAATGCGAGTTCTTGCAGAGATGCTCCCCAATGAGTGAGTAATAAGGATTGTACGATTTTTCCTATAAGCTATGAGTTTTGATTCGAAAATACCATCTCGGGGAACTTACGTTGCCGCAACAATGAAGGAGAACGCGAATGATTTCCCGTTGTTGCACTTCGGTGAGGTTCAATTGCGACAGCCTATCACAAGCGTCAATGTAATCCTGGACAGGAATTAGTCAAAGTTGTAACAAGGCAAACGGATAGTCTTACCTCGCTGCTCATGAGAACAACAAATATGCTTCTTCGAATGTCCGAGTTCATGCCTTGCTTCCTCGCCAGTTTCAGTAAATCGCTCTCTTCTTGCCTCGCCGCCTTTTGTGCTGCCGCGGTTTCCTGAATGTTCGCTTGTCGGTCGACCAGAGGGTCCCCGCCCCATGCTGCTCCAACCAGCCACCATTTTCCTTTCGACTCGGCAGAGTGGAGGTCCTCCAACGATATGCGCAGCGGTTCGTGCGCGTGGACTTGGAGGATATCAACTATGTAACTCCGGAACATCGCGAGGATACTCACCTTGCCGGGTTTTGCTCAGACCATTCAAGAATTTTTTCATCCTTTCCACAACTGCTCCACCCTGATTCTGCTCGGCCAACTTTTTCACTTTGTTATTCTTCAGGTTGATCAGAGTTTCGAGCATAAACTTGGTTCTTGAGCTGCGAAGCCGAACCCATCAGTATCTCGCAACGCTTCAACATTGCAGCAAACACACCTCAAATTCTCTTCCTCTCCTGAAGTCTTCTCCTGGACTATCTCGACAATGTCCTTTAAGACCAAAGGATCATCCGTTCGCAACTGTTGTCCGGAATCTACCAAGAACCATTAGTTTGCGTCTACTCGAACTCGTGGACACGTACTCCGGAAGACCTTGAGCAAGAGCTCGACATTGAACTCTAAGATATCACCCTTCAACAATGCGCGAATGATATCGAACATTAGCACAGACGAGATGACTTGGAAGTTGTAGAGTTCCGACAATAGGACGATTAGGTTAGAGCACTCTTTGCCTCGGTCGTCGCCGCCGTTGGGCCGGGAATCGATTGGGTCAGAGACGCCGGCGTAATTTTTTTCATATTCAGTAACAAGTTGTTGGACAAAGTGGGCCGCTATATACGGAGTAAGCAAAAGAGCTCAAATAAAAACGAGATTCACGCACCAAACTCGATTCCGATCAGCTTGTGCAGGCTTGAAACAAAGGCAGCGTGGAGGACCACGTACGAGTCCAGCAGAACCGAGTGAGAAGATACGCCCTCGAGGATCAGATTTGTGAGGGTGGAGGTAACGTCTACGGAAAAGGTCAGGCGACAGCTACTTTAGGTGGCAAGTTTGGACAAACCGTTTCTTGTGTTTTCGCGGTATATTTCCTCAATGCCATCTAATATAGTAGACATGTTCTGCTCTGACATCCTGAAATTTCAGTCAGAGGCCATGTCCAAGAAGGGAAAGGGTGACCGACCTGTTGAGCAAACCTTTCAACTGGCGAGTGAGTTTTAGTAGAGCTTCCGAAGGCGCCTGAGCTGCCTGAGCTTTTCTCAAATGTGGGGGAATGTAGGCTGATGATAACGGGTGTGAGTGCGTTGAGGCCTTGTCGGGCGAGGGAACGTACCGGAGGGTGTTTTATTCCCCTGCTCTGGCGCTGCGATGCTAGGTTCCGTTTCTGATGTACTGTCAATGCCGCCCCATTCGCCGTCGTCACCGTATTCACTCGGGGACTCTTCTTCTTCACTTTCGCCATCTCCCGACGCGTCCGTGTCGTCTATTTCAACATCAGTTCCTAGGCCCAGCTCTTCGTCGGAACCTTCGCTGAAGCCTTCGCCCTCCTCATCTGAATCGTCCTCGACTTCACCCTAGGGATCGAAGAATCAGCCAATGAAGAGGATAAGCTGTAGACACGCTTACATTCATCAGCGAATAGGTCAAATTATCCGCAAAGTCCAATAAATCTGAATGGTTGTCAATCATTGCAACGGAACGGAGGGAATGAGAAGGAAACGTACCATCCAGACCGTCGTCTTCATCCTCTGCGCTCTTCTTCTTCGGCTTGTCCCTGGAGTAGCCCAATCTCTTTTCCAGCGACCGGATATACGCATCTTCTTGCTTTTCGACTTGACTCTTTGGCATACCCAGCACGGGGTTTAATTGCTTCTTCGTTGATGTTTTCTGCAAGTTTTGCTTAGGTGGGTCATCCAGCTTTTTAGGGGGTTTCTTCTTCACAATAGTTTGCAGTACTTCAGGAATAGCTTTTTGGACTGTTAGATCCTCGCCGGATTCGGGCCCTGGTCCATTCCGTGATCGTTTTCTCCTGGGTGATTCTGAATGTTCCTCTGCTGGACGCTTGTTTGATTCTTCAGGGTGAGCTGACGACTTTTGCTGTGAGAAATACTGCGCCTTGTGTTGTTTTCGCGCTGTCCGTTCCTGCTTTCGCAGATCCTTCCGGCTAACCTGTCTCTTCGGCCCTCCTACGCGGTAATGTCCATCGTTTGTTTCTGTAGCGGTCCACAGGTCAACAACCTATTGCGAAGGAACGCACATGAAGAAGATTACCTTGTTCATTTATCTGATCCTGCAATGTATCAGGAAGACGGGGTCCAGTTGGCTTGTTCTTACCTCTCATGGCCGTGCAGGTTCAAGCCAGAATTTAGCTTGATCGAATGATTCGTGGGGCGACCAGCTTCAACCCCACCATCGCAAGTGCATTCAAGGTTTTCATCGGCCCAATGGTCTAGTAGTATGATACTCCCTTCGGGTTATTCAATCCGCAATCAGTTCGGTTGCTGCTTGGGAGTGGTCCCGGGTTCAATTCCCGGTTGGGCCCAATTGATTTTGCCTTTTTTTCGCTTGTGCTCAGAGACTATGTCAATTATCAACGCGATACGAGCAAAACTGTTTTTTTCTTCGAAGTGCTAGAAGAATTGAGATGATAGTAAATAGTAAAGGGGTCGGAAGAAGGCAGAATTATCATCTCTGACAGATTTTCTTTTTGGCCTGGGTATGCTTCGTATGGCGGACTGCCTATATGTGTACATCGGTGACGGTACTCTGATAGGTTGAAATTATGAAGTCTCATATATGGGACAGGTACGATAAATGTACTTTTGTGGTAGGGCGCTAATGGATTCTCGAATTGGATGAAGATGTGGCAGAGACTCGGAGAAGAATGGCATTATTGCCTACTATCTCATGCTTCGTCTTACATGGGATAGGTGACTATCAAGCAATGTTGCAGGTATACAGACGACAATAATCACATTTTGTCGTCCAAACTTGCTCAGAACGAACGGTTGGTGGGAGGGGAGTGGGTCGGGAATTGGCTAAGCGCTTATCCACGAGATTTGAGAGTTTGATTCGCCCTGGCATACCTGCGGAGTAATTCATGTGGCATATACTACACTTAGTCAACGTGTTTTAATGGCTCAAATAGCTCACAGTAGCCTAGACTCTACAGTAGATCTCCAGAATAATGGCCGTAGTCACCGAGCGCCCGCAGTCCAATTTGGTCAGCGATTCCCACGCTGTGCTTACACCGGCCATCACAGCCTCGCGGACAGCAATGGCTTCCGCAAGACGACGAACAACCGGCCTCCTCCTCCATCTGCAACCAAAGAGCGCTGCTCATTTATCGACATGGCCATTCCACCACAACTATTTCGTGCCCTAGAGAGTCTTAAAGACCAGGCAAAGGACGCATTGTGGGCGGTCTCCTCGTGTCTCTGCCACCAACAACCGAAGCTCAAAATCAATGGACGAACGTGTCAGTGATTTCCATTTCAGCCGCCAACCCCTACTCAGCTTTATCTCCAGTCCAAATTCTCAAAGTCCTAGGCGAAGGTGGCTTCTCTTTTGTGTATCTTGCGCAAGATGAGCATAGTGGGGTGCGTTGATTACCGAAACCAGTTACGAACTTTGCAACCAACAGAGGACCGGTTCATAGAGGCAATTCGCGCTTAAGAAGATTCGCTGTCCGACAGGGTCAGAAGGCGTAAAGGAAGTCATGAGAGAAGTGGAGGCATACCGGAGATTCAAGTGCGCCATGTCCATCTGAATTGGCTAATCTGTTTCTTAATGCACGTCATAGACACCCAAACATTATTCGCATCCTGGTATGTGGCATTCCATTCGATAACTATTACATACGTCTTGACTATGGTCCCAGGACTCTGCTGTGGTTCAGGACCCCGAAGGTGAAGGCAAGATCGTGTATCTGTTCTTACCACTATACAAGGTTCGATTCGATGGCCCAGCTAGTACCAGTACCAGCGCCTCATACGCTCAACATTTCTAGCGCGGAAACCTCCAAGATGCGATCAACGCCAACCTTGTTAATAATCGTCACTTTTCGGAGCAAGAGATGCTGCGGCTGTTCCGTGGAACATGTCTTGCAGTCCGAGCAATGCACGAATACCGACCAACCTCCGCCCGTTCCGCTATCCGAGGCGCCCCACAACAACGTTCAAAGCCTAGTAACTCAAATGCTGATGACGATGATGACAACGACGCGCGGTTCCCTCAGCCAGAAGGTGATTCTGAAGGGGGTTACTCGTACGACACCCCAGCTGCTCCCCTCATGGGAAAGCATCGCGCTTTGGATAATGAAGTGCTCTTCGATGATCAGGGAGAGTCCTCGCAACAACCAGCGAACGATGGCCCTCCACTGGATATTGTTCCGTATGCACATCGGGACCTGAAACCAGGGTACGTTGCAGCCTGCCCTTGCTACTCTCCTCGGTTTCTAAGGTGCACGTTAGCAATATCATGCTCGCAGACGATGGATCCACACCCATTCTTATGGACTTTGGGAGTACCATGAATGCCCGAATACCCGTACAAAATCGACAGCAAGCGTTGCTGCAACAGGTTAGAGCGCGCCACGCTCATCTAACGTTCAGTCATTAAATTCGTTCTAATCAGGATATCGCCGCCGAGCAGAGTACAATGGCCTATCGTGCGCCTGAACTATTCGATGTCAAGACTGGCATCACTCTTGACGAGAAAGTGGACATTTGGGTGGGTTCATATCCATTCCAACCCCGCGTCTTTCTGCTAATCAACGCTGCTCTTCGCGAATCGATCACTAGTCACTTGGATGCACGCTTTATGCCCTTGCATACTCACATTCGCCATTCGAAAATACCCAAACAACTGAGCAAGGCGGTTCCATCGCGATGGCAGTGCTGAACGCACAGTACAAGCATCCGCAATCGGCGTACTCGCAGGGGTTGCGAACCCTTATTGACAGCATGCTGAAACCAAATCCTAAAGAACGACCGGATATCAATCAAGTAGGTCAATCACTATCGATGGTGTCCAGCAATTGACTCGATCCCTCCAGGTCATTGAACTCACGGATCGGGCTCTCCAGACCCTGGCATAATGTATTTTCCGGACACTGTATAACTTATTGCTAATGTTAGTTTCTTCATGCCTCACATTGCACTTTACTTTAGTCTCCTGTAGTCATCTTATTGGGCACAGAACTTAGGGCGGCAAGTTTACATCGGACATCCGTGTGCCTTTATTTTTTCTCCCTACTCGGCTCACAAATAAGCGGAATTCTTCGACCGGTAGGAGAAGACCCAAGGCTATTGCTACACCATCAAGGCGTTCAGAAATGAAAGATACCTGATACACAGGCCACCCTGGCGCTACTATGGTCGCAACCTTTAGTGGAGACACGACTCTGTGACTATTAGTGCTCTTTAATATTGAAGGACCCTGGGATTGTGGCTGTATTGGAGACTTCTGGCCCTTCAATGTTGACGTTCTCGGGTCTCAAATTAGTAGAGAGCGCGAGTTTCGGTAGTCTAAGTGTTGGCTTGCATCAAGTGACCGTTTCAGCTCCGCTTCACATCGACCCCAGTTGTAGGCTGAGTTTTCTTACTCCCCTCCACACCTCGCTACTCAGCACTTTGTGCAATGGAATTCTCGGTACTGTACCCTTTTAAGCCCCTAACGCTCTCATGAACAAATAATCTTTGATGTTTCCGAGGAACACAGGTCATATGTTTCTAAACCTGCTCCTCAAATCCCTCGGAAAGCATGGATCAAACGACGATCTACTGGAGGCCTTACGACACTTGTAGCGCGAAACATGATATAGGACTCGAGTCCATTTCCATTCATGTTCCCAAAAACACCCATCGATACCCATCACAGTCCATCACCTGTGCGAGCGTCTGGTGGCTGTTGACCTGACAAGGTGGCGAATATGGAAAGGAACACTGACTAAAGTCTTCCCCTGCCCGCTATTGAGGCCGTCATGTGCTTGGGATCCATAATTGGACCAATCTGACTGCCATCTCTTCCCGACAACGATGGCTTCTTCCTGGTCCTTTTTGGGTCCTCGTATGTCGCCTCTATCCCCTTCTGTTCTGGACTTCCGATGAAATGGGGCGATCAAGCTGGCTGCTTGGACATCCTTGCTTCCGTTTGAGCTATTCTAAACCTGATGTCTTGTATGGACACATCTTCCCGGGTTGTGTACATCAGGGTGGTACATAAGGGTCCTAGTGTCCTGTGAATCTTCCTACGCTCACTCCCACTTATTATCCATGTTCTTCTATCCTGTCTTTGCCTACCACCCCATCGCCCTCGAGATGGCTAGTCGCCTCGTCCCCGCCTCCTATCGGTCAGACTCCTGGTTCGTCGATGAAACCACTGGAGTTCGGTGTCACATCTTCCGCTGGGACACCAAGTGTTGCTCCGATGGTCCTACTGGCTCTGACTGTTCCCAGACTCGACAGCAAGAGACGCTGGGCGCAGATACCTCTCGAAAACGCAGCACAAGCAAGGCCAACTCTCGTGAAAGCCACGGCTTCTTGGAGCGTATGGACGAAATGCCCTTGGACATCGTGTACGAAGTGAGTTTCCACCACAGAAACGTGTGTCGATGACATGACCTAATCGCGAGGTAGATTTTCCAACATCTGGACCCACTCGACCTTCTCAACCTCTCGCGAACAAGCCGGAGCATGCGAGAGTTTCTCATGTCGCGTACAAACTCGCGTTTTATTTGGCGATCGGCACTAGCGAGCGTTAGAAATCTGCCCACTTGCCCTCCTGATATGACCGAGCCTCAATACACTCAGCTCGCCTTCGATAATTCTTGCCAAGTGAGTAACTCAGCCTCATCTTATCAGCGTCTTCAGACGTGTCATTGGTTCCACGATCGCACCAATGTATCAAACGATGGTTCATGGCTCATGTGCCTCATTAACCATCTTCTGTTCAAAGCTCTGAGAAACTAAGTTCCTTGAACCGATCGCGATCGTCAATTCGCTTCCCTGCATTCATCGCAACTGCGAAACTGATGGACATTTATCCATTCCTTTTCCCAGTTTTGCTCAGTGAAGAACGTGAAGACGATATATTGGGGCTGTCGCGTCCGATGCTGTTCCAGATGCATCAAGCAACAGTGAGTCCACCCAACCCCGTTTAGCTTGATCAACGTTAACGGTTCATGCGTACTTTTCTCCGTTACCTCTGCCCCTGTTTTCAGATTTGTTACCCTGGATGAACTAGTTCCATGGATTCCCGAGGAGATCCATATTAAAAAACCTGCCTCCATCTTCCCATACACTGTACTTACTGGTACGTGGTGATTGGCTCGACAAGATGTTCACTTGCTGATAACAATCCATTACCCCACTTCAGATTACAATGTATGTCAACCATCGAAAAGAGCACTGTATTTTGCCCCAAAAGCAAAACAGTACCTCGCGGAACTATCCCAGCTTATTGCTTCTTCGTCAGACAAGAAGGCAGTGGACACATGGTTGCAAAACAAGCGCCAGCTTCAGCTCGAACGAATTAAGGTAT